TATCAAAACATATTGATTAACATTACTACAACTTTCTACAGATACTATAGTATATTGTACTCCGATAATGTGTTTGATCCGACAAAATTTTATTAATATTGTTCTTTAGATGTTCACTCGTATTTCTATCAGAACGAAACACAATTTGTTCTTTAAAAAAATTTTTAGAACAAAGTTTTGCTCTGCTTTTCTTTTGTTACAACTCTGAAGCATTTATTATTTTTTTTATTCGGTTTAATACCCATCACTGTGTTTACATTTCTTTTTACAAGTACTTTTTATCAGAGTCTCTGGAAGTATGGCTGCATTTAATTCATAACCATATGCATATTTAAAAAGCTAGGCCATTAAATTATTATAACTGAACATTTTAATAAAAAAAAAATACCCAAGTTTTTGTGTTTTGTTGGATTCAAGTTTTTTTTGTTTTTTTTTTTATTAACGATTCTTCAAATAAAGACAAAAAATCGTTTTAATATTGCACCTAGTACAAATAACAAAACAAAAAAAAAAAAGGTACTAATAAGCAATTTGATTTTAATATTTAATGTATTGGATTCAATATATTGGATTGTTTTTAATATTCAACGAGTCCATTTTTAACTCTACAGTTGGATTCATCTGTACAAATACATAGAGTATTAGAAGACATAAAAAATGTTTTTTTTTTTAAATGAGTTCTGTTAGTTTCGGACAATATAGAGAATTGACCAAGCACTCTTTAAAATACTTCTGAAATTCCCTTGTGACGACAATGTTTTAATTCTGATTGTTTCAGTGTTATTGTTGGAAGTTTCATCATCTAAATTTCAAGATTCAATCGTTTAATATTGAATAAAACTCCCATTTCTTCTCTAAAAATTTTAGGACACGTTAACATTGTGTTAGGACCCACTATATTGTCGATGTCCTTGCAAATAATTTTACAGTAATGATTTACTTGAACGTGTCGTTAAAGTATTCTAAAAAGGAATGCATTCCACTGAATACTACCAAGACCTAGACCGCTAAAAAAGCAGCAGTACTTACATCAATAACAATTCTCCGAGAAACAGGATATTTCAAATTATTATTTGCACAATATTTCTTTCGGGAATTAAAAATATAGTTTTTTTACGGCCGATTAAATAATATAACAATATTTTATTTGTCTTCAATGGTAATATCTGGATAATACTACTGGTCAAACCGAAAAATTTTCTGTATTTTGTCTAATTTGAAAAAGTTATTTTATTGAAAAATGTTTATTTCACAGAAATCCCATAAATACTATCATCCACAAATATTACTGTTGGCAATCATTGTATACAAGTGTTACGTGGCCCTTTAAATAAAAGTTAACGTCAACAAGAACAGTGTTTTAAACAATTTCACATTTTAAGACATACATTTGCAGACTTCTGCAAAGGCTATTCCTTTTATAGCTAATATTGTTTTGTGGTATCATTTGACACGAAAACTATGCAATCACAGTTTCATTGCTAAAGTGATGATCCCGCCATGATAACGGAAATCTAACAACATAACAACATAACTTGCAGCCACTTTGACACGGCTATCGAAGCATGAGACCAGCCTATAGGTTAAAGATACTTTATCAAAGCGACGAATTCCGCAATTCTACCTGGCTTCAGCGCTTACTACCATACATCAGTACGGTCTTACAGACTTTAAATGTGGAGTAGCGATTAAAACGCCGGTCATCAAGAAACCACCGCCGCCGCAACGACTAGCTGCACCGCAACAATAGTGGTCTCATTCGCCACACTCGTCTTCGCCATCGAGCAGCTTAAAATGTGTTGTGTCAATCTTACTGTTGTGAGTGTGGTCCTAGATGCCTAGCATGGCACGGTAGCAGACCCGGTATGCTTACCAGTTTTTGGGTGGGGTTCTTGGCTATTCACCGCTGCCCGCCGACATCAAACAAGACAAAGAAAAATCGTGCCATTAACAAATTTTACATATCTATATTAGAAGCAGGAAACCAATAGGGGACATGAGATTGGGTAGAAGCCACACGTTGGTCACAAAAACACTGAGAGAATAAACTAGTATAACCTCACCATTAACAGCATGTAAGATAAATCTAAGTGGGTATAACTTCATATGTGCGGTCTAGATACGTATATTGAAAAACTTTCAAATATAATAGGAAATAAAATTCATTTTAGCTTAGCAAAACTACTTATTGAAATCAAGGAATAAGGCAAAAAAATTGAAATAACTGAAATAACAGAGGTCTTACAGCGCTGCGAAGAAAACAAAACACCCGTAGAGGATTAAATTGTGAAGATATCAGAATGTTCGCATAAGTTTTTAGTTACATATTTGATAATTCAGAAGTGCTGGAATGTTTTAGAAATTCAATAGTATGTCCACTCTTCAAATCTCAAGCGGTGGCTTTAAACAGTTATTTAATACACCAGATTTTTTCCAACAATATGGATCTTTTTATGCACCAGTTCTTTGAAAAAAAATTAAAAAATAGAATATAAAGAGAATTGAAGGTAACTACTATTACTAATTACTTGAACGAGGTGTTTTTCTATTTTATTCGACAAACTGTGATAGCAAACCCGAATCTAATTCCAATAAAATTCTTGTTTGTAATTCCAAACTGGAACACCAGATTAAGTACAAATGAACTTGCTTCTTTGTAGTTTGCGAAAGTTATTTTAGAATAATTAAAACATTTTAGTTGAGTTGAGTTAACTGCGCTTTTACCTATCAAAAACTTAGTGGTTGTATGCTGTGCAAGTGATTATTTTTAATTAGTATCCTAAGGTTTTTCTACCTGACTTTATGCAAACTTCCAGAATAAGTTTGAGGCCTTTTCTGAACACCATAATCGTAAATTTACTTAAGTGATTAGTCCGTTAGTAAACAATGCATAAACACATCATCTATCATACTTTGCAATAATTTAGTTGAATCTCAGTAAGCAGTACCACATTATCGGCATATAAAAGCACTATATATCGAGTTGAGCCGATGGATATTCCACCCGGTAAGTACAGAGAAAACTCAACTGCCCATACACGACTCTCAGCGTTCGAGACAAATCTCATCAAACAGACAAATCAGTATATCTGTATATAGGTAATTTTTTTACAAACCGGACGGATTTTAACAGAAAATAACCTTATAATCTCCAAATTGGCTAAAATTTTTTTTTTAAGCTCCTTTCATAAAATAAGAAGATCCTCAGGCTCAGGCTCTATAAATGGTAAGAACTTGAAATTTACTGCATTTTAAAGATAATTGATTGATCGCTTAAATTTGAAAGGAAAGTCAATAACAGTTGTATTCACCTCAGTGTGAAAGTGTCAATTGGAGTAAGTTCTAAAAGGCGACAGCAGGCCGTAATTCTTGATGCTTTTTGTTCAGAATTGTGTCATACTAAAAATAATATGTAGACAATCAC